GCTCCTAGTAGTAAGGCCAGGAGCCCCTAGTAGCGTCCTTGCTCCTATTACTAAGGGCAGGAGCCCCTAGTAGCGTCCTTGCTCCTAGTAGTAAGGCCAGGAGCCCCTAGTAGCGGCCTTGCTCCTAGTACTAAGGGCAGGAGCCCCTAGTAGCGTCCTTGCTGGGAGTAGTAAGGCCAGGAGCCCCTAGTAGCGGCCTTGCTCCTGTCACTTTAACACACAATCTCCACACCAATGAGCGCAACAATCAACAGAAACGTAACACTTCTTCCGTTCTTGCCTTTTATCATCTATTTTGCCTTTTCGCTTGGTACGGGGGGCTGAAGGTCAACATCTTGGATTTCCAATGGCTTCCACCAAGGCGCGCCGATCCTCGAGAGCTGTGGAAGAAGGGCCCTTGCCAGGGCTTGGAACCAGGCCTTTCGTGGTGCCCTTACTGGTCTTGCCACCAGATTTGCCACTCATCTTGCCGGTCTTCCCTTTGCCTTTGCCACCTTTGCCGCCTTTGCCTTTCCCTTGACCTGCCCAAGCAATTCCGCTTCAAAAGAAACACACACACACATATATATAGTTTTGCAGTTTTGCACAGCAGAAAGAATTGACACCCAAGTGCAGTGGCAGCAACATGTTTGCCACTATTCAAGAGCACAATCCGGTCTTTTCACCTAGCGTCGTTGGTCTTTACGTCGTGTCCTTTTGTCGAAGCACGAGCTTCTCAGGCCCAAGGAACACCCTTGAGCTTGGGCCAAAAAAAGCGCCAAAAGCAAGGCTTTACTGGCAAACTTTTCTAGCATGAAACAAAGTATGGGAGTCACTGGAGCTCCAGAAACGGAACTTTGCTGCAACGACCCTGTCCTTGCTCCACCTACTCTGGTCGCTCCTTTCTTCCGAGCTTTAATGGAAACGGCTCACCGCGAGATGGTCAGCGCTTGCCAATCCCCTTCATCCGCCCAGCGAGCTTGAACCCCATCCCCCTGCACGTCGACATAAAGCCCAGTATGACTCTTCAGAAATAAAATATCTCCGACCCTCAGTGGGTCCGTGTCTTTCTTCGCAAGCTCCAGACCTTGCCAAACGCCCAAGTCTTCCCAGCGTGCTTGGACAGGACTCCCTTCTTCCTGAACTTCCAAGTAACAACCGGTGTGAGCTTTCAAGAAGATTAGATCACCTGGATGGAAAAGAGTGGGATCCTTAGATGGCTTGAAGAACCTCTGAAAGCAACAAAAACGCACTATTATGTCAGTGATATTAACCATAAAAATATACACATTCTCACAAAACATACACACACACATATATATATATATATTATATACACAGTAATGATTTATATAGTCATCCTCGTCCCTTTTTCCTGATAGAATAAGGTACGAAATGCCCAAGAAGAAACTCTGTACTGGGAGAAATGCACATTTGCCTTTATGCACTGCCAGGAATCAGTGTCCTCAATCACCAAAGGGCTCTTCTCAATGACCAGTTCCTGCCATCCGCCGCAATCGTCCCAACGAGCACAAGCTCGGTCGCGCTCCACTTCAATGTACCGCCCGGTGTGCGCACGGAGGAAGACGCGGTCCCCTGGGCGGATGACCTCCGAGTCCTCCTCCAAGCTCACCGTGACTGCCTGCATGGGTGCCGAGAAAACCGTCAGGCCGTACTGGGCCGAGGATACCGACGGGTACACCAGTAGATCACTGGGTGAGTTTAGCTTCTCTGGGAGAGTCCATGAAGTTGCATGGTCCGAACTGGTCCAACTCCCCCGCCTGCCAACTGGATCTCATCTTGGTGTCCACCGGGTGTACGCCTTCACCATCGCCTCCGGACTTCACCATCTTCGGTGGGAGAACCTCGGGTTCCAACAAATCTTCGGCCTCGAGCACTGCCTGCCGCAACGCCTGCAAGGTAGGCACACTCAGCTGGGCTGAGCTGAGCTAGATTCAGCTTCTTTAACATCGAACTTCCACAGGATGACCCGTCATTCCCTTTCACATTTCTGTATCCACCACCATCTGGTACATACCCATTTCCATTCCTAGCCCTCCCCCTGCCTCCAATAAATCTGCCTTCTTCCCCGAACTGGGTAGGCCCAGCTCCTTCAGCTTCTCACGGAGTTGCTTCAGCGTCGGCAGCGGCTTGCGCGTCCCCCGCGCCCTTCTCCCGCCACGTGTCGCACGCGCCGCACAACGGGCCGCACGGGCCGCGCAGCACATCACTGTGAGTGTCGTCCGAGTCCCAAGGGTGGTCGGATCCCCAAAACGGCTTCGTTCGAACCAGCGCGGCCCTGTGCTGCCCCAGCAGGTCTGCTTGGCAGCATGTTGCCATGCGGGAGTAGGCCACATGGCGGGCCACATAGCTTCATGAAATGTCTAGTGTTGCTCTTAAGCATTTGTTTAGAACTGTTTGTCGTGCTTTCGGATTGGCAGCTATGGTCCCATTGGTTTTGGCAAACCTATGGTATAGTCTTATGGTCTGATCTTGACGATGCCATACGGTGTTTCAGCATATTCTGCCTCGTGGCAAGCTTGAGCCAAAAGCAATGCACATGGAGGTAGGCTGACTATATAATCAGCCACAACGTTCGAGACCAAAAAGATCCAAAAAGCAACTCCTGGTGGACAATATGCTCGCTATTTTCCGAAAATGACTAATGTCCTCTCTCAACCCCTCTCTCTTAAGGGAGAGGCTGAAAGTGACAAAGCCGCAGTTGATGTTTTGCTGGATTGCGTTTTCTATGCTTGTAAATCACTCCTTGGGAATTTCAGCATGGCCCCGGCTGCTTTCAGCATCCAGTGGGAGCATCGTTTCTGTGAGCATACAGCTGGAATTGCTGGAGACCTCGCCTGCTGATTCTTCGACACAGTCCATGAAATAGGCAAGGATGTCCTTAAAGACAAAGGCACAAGTCCACAGAAAGCAAGGCCCTTTACCATACTCTACCTGCCAATGCTTCTTCCCTTGCACTCCTCTCAGTTGCGAAACATGCAAACAGTCCCAAGTACAGCTTCCTTTCTCCATGCCTCACTTCAGATAAGCCTCAAGTCTGGAGTAAGAGTAGGCATAGCGCAGCAACATCTCCTGTCATGACATGTGCCTGTGACATGACACCGGAAGGCGAATCACCAGCGTCAGGCCGCAAGGGTCTGGAGTGCGGGACGTCCGTCTGAAGTGGACGTCCTGGCCCCTGGAAAGACCAACAGGGGGTTGTCCACTTCCATGTTTGTTTGGGGGGCAAACACATAAAAACAGCTTGGAAGGAAAGCAGGATCAAAGAGGACAACAAGGTTCACGGTGCGATATGCTCAATTTACCAAAGCACACATTAGCTTGTGCGGCTTCAGCTGCATTGGCGTTGCGACAGCTGCAGCTTCAAGCGTACAGTGAGTGCTGTGCATGCCTTCACTTTATATTTCTTGATGTCTGACTTTGACAAGTGCGCACACTCACACATGCAAACTAATTACACATGGCAAATGCCCGGAAGAGCCCAACATAGTGCAACCTCATAGGAAAAGCAGTGTGTGCGTGTGTGTGTGTGTGTGTCCACCCCTGGGCAAGGGGATCTCCACCGCCACCTTTTCCACGCTTTTCCACTAACTTTTTCAACCAGCAGGGGCACACGGCATCCATGACCTACCGTGTGCAACGAAGCTGCGGTCATGGATGGGAAGGGGAGGCTGATCACCTTCCTGTACCTGCTCCCAACACACTGACTCCAATGGTCCACCCTGCCGCTGTTCGTTGGTTCAATGGTTCTTCATGCTACCGCCCCCAAACCCACCGCAGCCTTACAGCCGACTTGCAGCCACGCTGAGTGTCCGATCGTCTTTTCGAGTGCCACTGCAAACAAGGTTAAACCATACTGTTTTCACTGACCTTTGCGCCCTGCGGTTCTTCGCCTTTCTTCCCATCGGGAAATTGAGTTAACTGAATACAAGTGTCAGAGTGTGTTTCGCTCAGCCGTCCCACTCGGGTGCTGAGTGTGATCCCCGTCACTGGGGCGCGGTTTTCCACTTCGGCAAGCAACCACCCCAACATGCCACCTCTCACCGGATTTCCACTGGAAGTCATTGACACATCCTTTGAATCAACAGATGCATCGGCCGCCGGGCCAAAAAACGGCTACTTTCTCCTTCACCAGATTTCGGATCCATCATGCATGTTGTTTTTCCACATGTTGCAATTTTAGATTGATGCCGTGACCTTTTCATCAGCAGAACTCAAGCTTGTGCACTGGAGTTCTCCACTCTAATTCGAGATGCATGATCGCACTTGACAATCAGCTCATACCCAGCTCAGGGTTTTTGAAAAAAGCGCCGAATGCGGCGATCTGTGTGTGTCCACCCCTGGGCAAAGGGATCTCCACCGCCACCTTTTCCACGCTTTTCCACTAACTTTTTCAACCAGCAGGGGCACACGGCATCCATGACCTACCGTGTGCAACGAAGCTGCGGTCATGGATGGGAAGGGAAGGCTGATCACCTTCCTGTACCTGCTCCCAACACACTGACTCCAATGGTCCACCCTGCCGCTGTTCGTTGGTTCAATGGTTCTTCATGCTACCGCCCCCAAACCCACCGCAGCCTTACAGCCGACTTGCAGCCACGCTGAGTGTCCGATCGTCTTTTCGAGTGCCACTGCAAACAAGGTTAAACCATACTGTTTTCACTGACCTTTGCGCCCTGCGGTTCTTCGCCTTTCTTCCCATCGGGAAATTGAGTTAACTGAATACAAGTGTCAGAGTGTGTGTGTGCTTGTAAATGTTTTGCTATCTGAAGACAGTTCATACAGTTGTGCGAAACACTGCCGGATCTCTCCTCGTACGTGCGAGGCACGCCATCCGCTTTGTCGATGTGTCTCTGGAACACCTCTGTCATGCTTCACAGCACCAGTATCATCTTTAACCGAAGTGCGTCTTTCACACAGGCTGACATGTGTGTAGTCATACTAAGAAAACAACTCAAATGAGAACTGGATTCAACAGCCAAACTACCCTCGATTCGGCCGAGGAAAACACGGAGGCAAATGATTCTGCACGGGGGGCACAAGGCCAGTGCCCTGTGGTGCGCCTGGCCACCTTTTGATCCTTTGCCTTTGGACTTTCCGCCCTTTCCGGAAAGACCTTTCCCTGGCGAAGGAATCAAGAGATCGATGCCCTACAGTCCTCCTCCAGGGACAAGGCAAGTTGTTCGCAAGTCTGATTCAGGAAGGACAAGGCATAAATACTACATGCTGCCAGCAACACATCAAAGATAATCAAAGCATATACCACAATAACGCCTTCAACCAACAGAATCTGATGCTCGGATGGAGCCACGAGTTCTCTGCCAAGAACCGTTCAAACGCAACCTGGCCCTAAACCAACATCTATTCAGGTGGCAAACTCATATTCACAATCCTACTGGCTTCATCTGGCTTCCACATGCTTCCCCGCCATCGAGCCTTTCTTTCCTCCAGCTGCAGCCTTTCCGCCCTTGCCACTCTTCCCGACTTCTCCTTTTCCTTTACCCTTGCCCTTTCCGAGCCCTCTACCCTTTCCTCGGCGTGAAAAGGCCGCAACGTGGGACTTATGCCCGCATCCAGGAGTCGAGTCGTCCAGTACGAGTCGTCGTCCGTATGCGAGGTGACCATCCAGATGATGCTCCCAAACATGTGGAGATTTGCTTTTTGAGGAGGTGCACATGACAAGGTGAGCTTCATCATGTGCTTGGAAAGAAAACACTGAAAGAAAGGAAAGGACCACTAATGCAATGCGGCGATCAAGTCGATGATGCCAAATGAGCTGGAACATGGGGAACATGAACATACATGAACAAACTTTACTCAATTGATAACTACCAGGCATCAGGCGTCATGATGAGTTGATGCGTTTGACGTGCAGTGTCTCAAAAGAGAATTGGGTGCAATGCAAATGGGTGCCAAATAATGAGGTGAGTTGAACTGACACGCCAAAGTGAGGTGGCATCGGGCCACAAGCCATGCGAACTATAAGAGAGGGGACCACGTGACGACCACGTGACATAGGGACATAGGGCTGAATCTGCGACATGGGCCTCTAAGCTTCCTGATGTTGCTCGTTCCAGCTCAGCAAGCAACATGAGCAATCATTGCACCAAGCAAACTTCCAAAGCGCCCCAGCCAAATCCCAAATGTGCAGGACAAACACAAGCAATGCTTCTTACATGGTAATGAAGGCAGAATGAAAGCAAGTTAAAGCAACATGAAAGCAGAATACACCATGAATGAACCCAACATGAAAGCAAATGAACGCAAATTGAACTCCAGGGATTATAACTAAGGGGTACCTTCAAAAAGACCTTAAACAAATGGCGAGGGGGCCGGGCTGTCACCAAATATGGATGTCACATGATGTGTATATATATATATATTAACATATATATACACCACAAAATGCAACTCAGAAACCTTTTCCTTTGCCTCCCTTGCCTTTGCGCCTCACTCTGGGCTCAGGAGCGCCCTCCTCCAGCGGATGCTTCGACTCTTCCAAACCAAAGTTCACAGGTGAGATATCCCCACTCAACTTATACCTATACAGCAACATATGTGATGTGCTATGCACAAGACATCACAATACTGGTTACAAGTTTTACTACATAGGCTGATTTATGTATACATCATGTTCATGTCACAACTTACGCAGTGTTCAGTGATTTGCATCTTCAGTGGTTCCCCTTTTATACTCCCTCAGTCCCGACGCGAAGAAAGACCATCACCGACCTGTCCTTCGATGGACCTTCAGCACCTACGAACTCCCAAGTGAAGGCAAGGCTCTTGTCCTTGCACAGCAGCGACTTCGGCTGCAACGCTGACTTTGGTTGAAAAATGTTGACAAATGTTGGGTTGCAGCAAGGGTTGCGGGGATCTGGAAAATAGCTACAGCTCTTGTCTCTTTCCAAAGGGTATAGCGCAGTCTGGCGGTCCTTGAGAACAATCAACACCTGAGTAAAGCATTCTATACATATATATGATATAAATATATAATAGTCGTTGGTCTGTGCATGCTCAATGGGAGGACACCATCTTATTTGTCCATCAAAAGCGTGAAAGCTTGCAAAAGGCCGGTGGCAAGCAAACGGTTCCTCTCATGCAACAAATGCAAAAATAATGTCAAATATGTTCAAATGGGAATAAACGCATAAATAAATAGGAAACGCTGGTGGCCAACAACTTAGGAACGAACTGGAAAGACCGCCCCCACCCTGCAAGCAACTCTCTCCTGGCCAGACAGCCAAACTGCCTTACTGCCAGACCTTAGCGGTCACCAATGATATCACGGAGCGAACGACCTCCCACAAAGCACTGCTGAAAGCCAACAACGAACGACCTTAAGCCATGGATGCGGGCCAACAGCAGTTGTGACTGGTAGCGTGTCAATGCTAAGTAGAGAACTTGAAGGCAGGATCCAAAATAAACCTCGGCAGGGCTCCACGAAGGGATAGTGGGAAGCGCACTTCGCCTATCAAAGACAAAGGCATGGGACAGTTGCAAAAGGATTATGTTGGCACCAGAAACTGAGCACGCCGGATTGCCTGGCGAACTGCACTTGGTTTCGCCACACACCCTTAGCAAATTAAGGGAAACACTTGTGGTCACGGCCATTCACACCAAGTATTTGTGGAAAACAATGTGTCCATCATGGAGAACTGCCCCCCCCCAAGATCTGCCAGGGCACTTTCCGGAGCCCCACACAAGCTCGCCCTCCTTACCAGCGGTCAACCTGAGTACGGAGGTTCTTGCAATGAAAAAGACGGTGCAACAAGACACCCAGCACCACCCCGAACAGCTCCTCAAAGAAGAAACTCTCCTGGAATACTTGGTGGGAATCAGATTCAGCAATTCCCCAAGGTCAGTTGTTTGGCAATGATGTTGTCTGATTCGCCGACCCGGAGAATGATCACAATTGTGGGGTTTTCTGCACACCCCGTCAAAACTCGCCTGTCACCAACTGATCCAAAACCTGCACCAGGTACCCCGAGCCAGGCAGTCCCTAACTTTCTCCAGGTCGCTTGAAAGACCTGGCTCGGCGACTGCCTTTCCACACCTCAGTCGGTCTACACAGGTGAGTCAGTTCAGTTCGGGGGTTCCACTCGAATGGTTCGTTGGTCAGTGTCCTGCTCTTAGATGTCTGTTCAGCTCGGGAATGTGACCTTGATTGGTCTGATGGTACAGGACACCTTCTTTCAAAAGCTGGAAGGCAAACTAGAAGCATGGCAGCCATACCAGCATGGGGCGGGATCATTGCATGGCAGGCGGTCAGATGTGTTGGAGCTGCGGTGATGATTCTGAATGCTTCATTGGATTCTGCTGCACCCAGAAAGGCCAAAAAGTTGGTTGGCGAAAAGAAGGGCACCCCTTGATGCGTTGTCAGTCAATGTCAGCCATACTATGAGCTCACGTAATCGAATCTCATCATTGAATCATATCTCTCATGTCACCATAACTCAACGTCCCCAAATGCTTGCGTGGGCTGCCAGTGATACACTCCCCGGAATGATCATGACACTGGAAAGCAACCTGTTTGGAATTCGGACAATGGTCGTCCAAGGGGCCAAGCCATGCCGCTTTCATTGTGATTTCAGGAAGTGATTAATTATATACGTGATACACATGTTTGACAACGTACCACACCGCCGAGGCTCCATGATGGCAACGTCGTCTTCGACAAACCATTGCCTCGTCAGCGAGAGTGAAAACCACCCGAGCCAGGGGTGAACACAACGGTTCGGATTCGGACCTCTTGGACGTGCTCCCTGGAACAAAAGGAGAACAAACACACACACACACACATATCCCCAGAAGGGGAGCCAAAATACAAGCAACAATCATCCTAAACAAAAGCAGGACGTGCTCCAGGTGTGACAAGTTCCAAAACAGTCAACACAACCGATCTAATGCACCCCCGATCTAAGTTTCAAAGCACCCCTGTCGCTTCCAAAGCATGTTCTTGAATGATGCTTTTGCAACGACTCTCTCTCTCTCTAAAATTAGTCCGTTCATGTTCCCTGATCAATGCGGATCAGTCCTGTAAGAGTCTTGTACATGAGTTGTTGTGGTTGTTCATTCTTTTCCTCACATCTGTTTAAGCTCAGGTTCCCGCAGCTGGTCTCTGCCCGACTGATCCCATAGGCCCTGCAAAGCCTGTTATCTCAAAGTTGGTCACAGAAATGGATGAAACTGCGACAAACTGTGCCAAAGTCCAACTTTTGGATAATGATGCACAGCCATGCCCAGTCGCACTGATTCAGAATCATTCCGCGAACCCCTTCCAAAACCCAGGATGCGGCATTTGCAAATTCATGTGGATACTTGTTATATGATATGCGTTAGCAATTCAATCAACCAAGATCATCTTGTTGAACGCCTGTCAGTCTTCGCGCCGTTGCACATCTTCTTGGAGAATAAGTATATAAAGATACAGTATGCACATGTATGATATGCACCTATATACTGTGCACGCTTCAGCCCGTACAAACCTCCTTCTGCTCCTCAAACACCATTGCTTCCCGTCCCTGGCTGCCTTGAGCCTAACAGCGACCTTCAAGTCTCAGCAGCCGTTTGGGGCCGATCGCCCGGCTGCATTGAGCATGCTGCAAACAGCGGCAAAGCATAGCTGTGGGTCAAAAGCCCCAACAAATCTGACTGACCCACAGCTATGAATGATGGGTGACCCACACCTAGATTAGTGCCTGTGCCTCGAATGCTTCAACGTACTGTTGGAAACCGATTGCCAAGGCCTGGAAGGCGTCAATGGATGTTCTCTTCCGCGTAGTCTGTCCTGCTTGAAGTCAAGAGCGTATATGATTGGCTCATGGATCAAACCGACTTCACTGGTAGTGGCAAATTAAAGAATACCAAGTGGGACAAGTCCTGAGATATTGGAAGTCTGCAGTCACTGCAAGATTGGTAGGTTGCTGCTACAACTGCCAAATTGAGCTTTGATGAGTCGGCCCTCTGTTCTTAGGAAACACAGCGGTGTCGAGTCCAAACATCCTGAGATTCTGAGTCCCAACATCCTGAGATTTGAGCCACGGCGCAAACCTTTTCCTCACAATTTCGCTTTCCGCTGTGCGACAGCACGCTGGTATGCATCACGCTTGTGACAACGTTCCAGGTACTGCTCTAGTACTGGCTGCAGCTCACTCTCAATTGAGGTGGATGGGAGCCACTTGATCACTCCGGCCCAATCCAAGCCTCCGAAATGCACGACAGCATCAACGATCCCCCTGCGATGAAATCCGTCAGCGTTGCTCCTGCAACCTTCAGCCTTGCCAAAAGCAACAACTGAGGCTCCTGCAATGCACCAACAGAATGTCAGCAGCACTAAAGTTGCCAAGCAAGTAGTCTCCAACCTGTTTCACCGTTGGATCCCTCTGTTTGAACTCTCGAACAAATGACCAGCGTCACGTCCCGCAGGCCCGTCGTGTTGCGGCCCCTTGGTCCTTCCCGCCTCTCGGAGCTGTGCCAAGAGAATGTTCACTGTATTGCAAAAGTGTTGCTGGGCATGCTGCACTGCCTGGAAACAAAGCAACACTATGTAGCAAATCCTAACCTGGCAGCCTATTCCAGGAACAAATGTGTTACGTCGCCCCAGCATCAACCCTCCTCCCCCCTGCAGGCTGTAAGTATAGGCCCTATGAATTCTCCTTCAGTGATTTTGAGTGGTGCTGCACCGCATCCAGGGCATCAACGACTCGTGAGTCACCAGGGCGTTCCCCGTCCTCAGGGATATGCCCAAAGAACTGCTTCATCGCCTCGTGCTTCCGGTGGATCCACAGCCCCTACGGATGCATCACTCGACGCATCGGTCGATGGGGAATCGATGGGTCTATGACGGTGGATCGCTCGGGCTCGCAGCTGGCAGTCCTGTGCATCTAACTCCGTGATGATGCAGGAGACCAATTCCTCGTACCTGTCAAGCACGCAAGCCAGGCTTGGGTGAGTCTTGGTGTGCCTGATGAACAACTCCTTTGCCCCAACCTACTTCGGGCCGATGTTGTTCCAAATGAAGTTGACTTCCATTGCTTTGGCCGGCCTGCCACGAAGTTGACTTCCTGCTGGTGGGACCAGCTCCGGAACATGGCCACGAAAGGCGTCCGCCAAGTAGGTGTTAATGGCCGCAGACTCCGTCATGATGAAGTTGCCGTGCTGCAAGGCAGCGGTGCTCTCAGGCAGCATTGTTTCAGGATGTTTCAGGCAATGGCTTGCAGAAGTCTCAGCAGGATCAATCATATGCCATGCACCTTCACCAACACATACATACTTTGAGCATATGATGCATGATGACTATAAAATGCTACAGGTTCAACGTGTGGCCATGGACCATCATGGATCAATTGTCTTTGCATCCAACCCTCGCCTTCAAAATTGGCACCTTTCCGGAGCGGTTCATGGCCAAGACCTCCGGGCTCCGCGGAATCTCCGGTCGCAGCGTGTAAGGCACTTGAAGCTCCTGGTGCAACCACGCGTGCACAGTGCAGGAGTTGTCCAGCGAAAAAAACAATTAAAACACAACAACTCCTGATGATGAAGCGCGAGAAAGCTCCGATGTTTCTCGAACTCTGAGCCGCTGAAAGCTCTTTTGTGGTTATGTGGGGGGCACGATCTTCAACCCGGACTTTGGTTCGCCAAGGAGTCGGGGGTTAGCAAATTCCGGATCATCTGTACGACCTCCCAGTGCATTCTGAGTTTGATGTTCAAGGCGGTCAGCCTCCCAAGAATCATTCCCAATGTTGGCCGATTCCCACCCAACACCGGCCTCCAACATCCAAACATTGCGAAAGGGCCTGGCTTTTGCAGTGCCAATGAGCACCAGGTCGGCCATTGCGAAAGGTCTGGGCTGCGAATCCAACTTGTTCAAACCAAGAGATGGACTCTTCGGTGATGGATGCGTGTGTGTTGAATCTGGAGACCTGGCCTGGCCGGCGATGCGACGCTACACGACTGGGAGCCAAGGTTTCTGACATCGGTTGGAAAACCGGTTTGGCCACATGTGAACCATCGATATCATCAGCTCCAACCGAGCGGTGCACGGTTCACGCGATGACACCGGGACCAGCTACCGGTCGGTTCGGCCGTTCGGTGCTTGGACGTCCTGTTTTCAATGATCCATGGAACCCACGTGCGTGTCTTCCCCTTTTATACTAGCAGTAAGGCTGTAAGGGAACAAAAAGCAAGTTTGGTTGGGAGGAGCTAGCCAAAGTCTTGGCAGTCCAGGTCTGGCTCAACACCCTTAATTAGTTACGAGTAGCATAGATTAGCATATAGTGGCTTGGGCTTGGCATATCTTAGCATCAGCCTTTTCCCTTTGCGGAATGGCTCCTGTCGTCCACCTTCAGGAGATTCAGCAAGAGATCTTCCCAGAGTTCTGGCTGCGTGGCAGCCAGCCAGGGGACAATGGGTTCAAACGTGGACGACAGTTGACCGGTCTAGCTTCGGATGATTTCTTGACTAAAGGAACAGCAACAACTTGAAGAAACGGAACAGTACATTGAAACACCTTTGGGCATGACATGACAGGGTGTCCTCCCAATGATGCCAAACGGATGACTATGACGTTGCAATTGATCAACACCTTTTCTCCTAGGCCCCACCAATTATCATAAACTAACCTGAAGTATGGTCACTTGGGCATCCCTGGCATTATGTCGCGAATCTCCCTGGGCCTTTGTACTTCTTGCCTCCGAAGGAGTACCTGGCACAGCTGATGGATGCCCCAGTGGATCATGCCCCAGCCTAGACACAGCATTCTGATGGAAGAGGGCCGCGCTCTCTGATGATGGCCACTGGATATCCGCCGACCCCAGCTCATGGTGGGGGGTGTGCCAGAGGACACTGGGCTCTGCTTAGTCCACTGTTGTTTGGAATTTAATAAGGAGAATTACACATATTCATATTCTGCCCTTGATACTTGTGTATACTTGTCGCCTTTTGCCTCAGTGAGTCTTCCATTCTTTTCGCGTTGTGCACGCTCTTCTTGCTTGATGATGGTTTGTGGCTAGGTTGCAGTGGTTGTTTGCAAGGTTTCACTGGGTGCACGAATGTTCTCAAAAATCCTCTGACGCACTTCTGAACATGCCGAGAACAAATAATGGGAGCTGCACACATCTAGCAAAATGATTGCACCGGTTGGCGGGCTGAAACGATGGGTTTCTGATCTAAGGATGCACTGAAGGCGCCTCAAGTCCTCCTTGTCCACGTGAAAAATGAACAGTGGAGGCTCCTGCACCAGGCACATCCTCCAAATGCCGATTCCAGGTTCTCTTTTGAGTGTTCTAACAAAACCTCGCAGTCCAACCCATATCGCCCAGATTACTATATAAATAGCTCTTGCACATGATACGAGTTGCAAAGGAGACATTCTCATATGATCTTCCTCATCTTGATGCAAGCACGTCTTTTGATGATATTTGATGATTGTACATTCATTGGGCAGCAACATGCCAACACCCGGTTACTTTGGACAATTTTGAAAATATGTATGATTCTGTATGATTATTCGATATTCTTCCGAAATCGAGAATTTAAGGTCTTGTGCACCGGCTTCGAATTAGAAGATGCGCCCGAGCCTCGGTGGACAAAGCCATGATCTGCCCCTGCATCTATCAATCTGAGAAGGTGGACATTCATTAGCTTCCCTCAGCGCCTCTTCCAAAAAGCAAGAGCAAAAAAGGCTTGCTTGCATGTCGCACATGTCACAAAGGCCACAAGCAAGTCCTGTTCGCAGGAAAAAGAGAAAAAGGCACGTGCCTCTCTATCAACCGCTCTCCATCGCTCTCCCGTCGCTTCGACCAAGGCACATTTTCAGCTCTTCTCAATGCCTCGCTGGACACCTCAGACCGGACCCCGTCCCTCCGCGTCGCGTCGCACGCGTCGCCAAACGCGTCGCAAAGAGCACTCAGCATGTGGCCCACATGGGTCGTAGCTCCGCCAAACGCGACGTGTGCTGTGGATCCTGGTGGTTCCAAACAAGCGACAAGCTGGTGATTGGTGGTCTTTTCCAACGTTTTCTGAATGTCTGTGATTGATTTCAGTTAGTTAGTAACATCTATACTGTCCGCCAAATGGGACCACGAAGATCTGACGTCCTCCAAGTATGAGCCCCACTTGGCTTCAAGAGTGATGTTCGTGACATCACGTATGTCCCAACCTCAACTTGAGCTTGTCGGGATTGTCGGGATTAATAAACACGAAAAACGCGCCTATATATACGACTATAAACAGCGAGGACAAGTTCCAAAGGACACAGGAACCAAACTGAGAGGCCCTGGTAGATCACTGTATGGCCATGGTATTGAGATTAGGAAGGCTCCATTTCACCTGGTAAATTAAAAATCCACCATGTCACGACAAGGTAATGAGGGTAATGGGCCTTGTGTTGGTGCTGTCTTTTTTGGAGTGGAGCCGCCACCACACCGAACATCCAAATTCCAAAGCATCGTCTGAAAGCCTCAGTCTCCCAACCCTCATGCAATACACACCACATCCTCAGAGCAGCAAAATGGGGGATCATGGTGGACCTGAGATAGCAGTTGGGAGCGTGGAATCCTGAGTCAGCTCTTGGGTCATGATGACAAGCATTGATCAAACCGGCAAATGGTTGGACCAAGTTGGACCCACAAATGGAGTAGAGCTAGTCGGAAAAAATAAATTACCAACAGGTGAGGCATGTCAGAAGTCATAAAACAGTTAAACATTCAAAACGAGCAGCTGGTAGAGTACGTGCTCGAATCGAGGGAAGAAGACATGCCGAGCCACACTCCTGCTGCTGATGGGGCAAGTTGAGTCAAAGCAACTTCGGTCCGATCAGTCTGCTTAAATTCCCGGAATGTGGAGCATGTAAAGGATGTAATATTGGCCCATGTCCATTTTCAATCTGAGGAATTTAGAGGAGCATGCTTACAATCTACAGGTGCAAACAGGCTATGACTAGAGACTAGCAAGAAATCTAATCTATCTATGAATGGCAACCAGCCCCAGCCAGCCTCCAACTGATCTTTGAGTTGGTCTGTTTGGCCAAGTAGAGCAGCATCCTCTTTCCCACCTTCAGCACAGTGTGGCTTCCACCAGTTGAATGGGCTCTTCTCGGTCAAACATTGGACATCTTGGGCTGTGCCTGGCTCCTCTCATCACTTGACCCTCAGCCTTACTTGCCTTCTCGCCAGTCAGCCACCCCGACAAGAAGGTCTAGTGGGTGATTTAGGGACCCCCTGGTGTCCACCAATGTCACTGGCAAACGCTTGGGAACCCCAAGAGAAAACGCTCCTACTCAGCACTAACTAGCGAGTGAGATGGAATGTCTGCAAGCTGTAGTCCAAAATGATCTCTAATATGAATCCAATGGATCCGATGATATATTTCATTCCGACCACCTCCGTTGAGAGCATTCTTCTCATGACCTAGTAAGGCCCAACCTCGCGTTTCCCACTCCAAACTCCTCGTTGCAGAATGGCAGTTCTGCTGACCTCGAGGTGCACCAAGGGCAACTCAGTCCACCAAGTCCAAACGACATGATTCACCATGGCTTCCACCTTCGTGCCACGACCGGCACCGGCACGGCATGGTCGCCCGGTCGGCGAAGCAACGACGAAGCGCAAACGGAGTGACGCCTCACCGATCCTCACAAGACCATACAAACTGGCACTTCTGGTGGAACTGGAGCTAGCACTCAAACAAAGTGATCCACTTACATAATAAATATTACTACATAACACAAGTTAACGTTTATATATGTTTACAGTAAATAAAGCACGCATTCAATTTTATTGACTCCAACATGCCTGCAAGGACATGACACTGTCCCCACCTTCTGGCAGGGAACTCCTTGTGGACACTTTCCCTGGAAAAGGCGACATCATGATCCTTCACAACCCACATTGTTCTGACTCTGCCTCAATTGTGAATCAAGAAGATGACCCTTGATCGATTTCTTCAAAAGAATCCTTGTCAGTCCAACAAACTGAAAACTGCAAACTGAACTGCAACAAAAGAACACACACAAAAACACACACACATATCAAACTGTAAAACCATCATCTCAATCTGATCCAGCCGTTTCCATCCTTTTTGATCCTTTTTGCATCATTTTACTTTTCAAAAAATACAGTACAGGCATCTACAGGCGGCAAAGCTGTCCAGAGTCAGCCCTGCTCAGAAGACCGCCGCCTTCTCCAGCAAGTAGCGGGCATTTTCCCTGCGACGAGCCGAGACCACCTCCCCTTCAGTGAGGGCCCCCCACTCTGTGGTGGAAAGTTAAAGTGTTGAAGGTGCCAGCATCGGCCTCTGCTCAACATGCATCAATGACTTCGTCAATTTGATCACCTTAGACTTTTTTTGGAATGCAGATTTGTCAGCGAAACCGTCTAACAAGATCTAACAAGAAACTATCCTGCTCTTCCGGTCCATCCCTCTGTTTGCGGTCGACTCTTGGGGTCACCTCAGGAGGTGCAAATCATAGTCCCTGCCGGACTTCGTCTGGCGGAAGGGCGAGTGGACGAGGAAACAAGCGGTCACGAGCGGCTGCTTGACAAGTCTGGCGCCAACACTCAGCAATCATGAAACTTGACTAGACTCTAGACATCTTACGAAGCAACACGAGCTTGTTCAATTGGAGTGCTCCCGGCAAAAGGATTGCCAACTTTCTAGCCCAAATGGCAAATTCAACAAGTATGGAACTGGGAAGAACTGGGACATCAGCCAAGCATTGGTTAAGTTGAGACACCGCTCTCTTTTCCTCACACGTGCACGGCCACTCTGGCACTCTGTGGTGGCGTGGGGGTCCGAGGTGTTCGAGGTGTTTGGGGTGCGTGGGGCATGTCATGCGCACCACGCACCGTGTTCAACGGATCACAGGGAGGCCAAAAAGTCCCCACCCGTTGCTTCAGGAAGGGGGCTCCCATTCGAAACGGTTCCGCCAAGCTGAAGACTGGCAACTTCAGGATCTCTTCCTCTACCGCAAGGCGGTAGTACTTCAGTTCTTCCGCAGTGGTGGGAAGCATCGCATGCCGCAACTTCACCTTGATGTTGCTAATGGCTCGGAGCCAAAAGACCTTCTCAGCCACACTCCTGGCTGCGAAATGGTAACCATTCAAGGTGAAACAGCTGCTGTCGACGCCCATCCGTTCCGTCACGACGGAAGCAGCGTCGATGCTCAAGCTTGCCACCAGGCATCTGCAGGAGTCATCCTCGTAAGCCATGAGGGTCGTGCTTCCTTCAAGTGGTACATGAAGTTCGCAAAAGACGGGTGTCACACCGGTGCGATCGAAGAGCAACATGTGCCCAGCCACGAGGCGAGTCTTGGTCCAGGACAAGTGGCTGGGAGCAGTGACCAACTTGAAGACCGGAAAGAGTGAGAGGGTCAGCATCCGGATGGCACAGGCGATCGTGGCGACCCAGCGGCCACGTTGTTGCACCGCTTCCTCAGGACATGGATGTGTCACAGCAAAGAGCGATGAAATCCCGTGGTGAAAGTCAGAGACTTTGAAGAGTCGCACGTTGGGCATTCTCTCATCCATGAGTCGAGTGTGAAGACGGCAAGCCTGCACGACGGCAAAGGGTGACCAAGCGAGGGATCTCACCGGCTTGATGAGCTTGGATCCCGGGTATCGAATCCGAAAGCCATTCACATGGACCGTGAGTAGGACTCGTGAGATTTCCTGGATATCCCTCTCATGTTCGGAAGGCTGGAGAAACCACACAGAGCCACTCCTCAAGGCGGGCTCCCGCAAAGCTGCCTTGCTATCCACCTCGAAGGAAGCGGGCAAGGCCAAAGGGTTTGGGATGGAGCTCACAAGCTCCTTATCCACAGACTTGAAGAAGAGCTCCCCCGGCTCGTTTTCGTCACCTTCGGAATGGAACATCGCTGGCGGACCCAGATTTCGGTCTGCATGGCTGGAACTGAGACATCTGCGGCTCTTGTGTCTGAACACCCAGGAGCATCACTTTGGCCCCTGTTTGATCTGCAAGAGCTGCAAACATGTCAACTTCACATGCCCCATGCTTCACAGAACGTGACGTGCAAAGGATATGAATGGTAATATGATATGCGGTGGCAAAGGGCCGTCACTCCACTTCAATCACTGAAGCAAGCAAACACAAATGGCTCCCCACCCCCGTGTACTTGCCCACCCTCTCCTGGCAGTTAAAGAAGGTGTTGATGTTGCTTGCAAACAAGCGGGTGAAAATCAACGATAGAAATAATTCCTTTAGATTTAGATGGTTGCGGGCCATGCTTTGCCGCCCACCCAAATTCGCCGGCCGCGCAAAACTTCCGAAGTTGTAGGTGGTCAAAGTGGAAGAGACCCTTGACCCAGGCCACGCCTGAAGGAGTTTGAATCACAGGTGCGTGCGAATCTCAACCGTTGGGGGAATGTGGAGACACTGTATATAGAAGATTGATTCTCTGAAGACTCAGCCGAGCCTTTCGTTCTTCGAAGGCTTTGATGCGAGACACGAGCCTGGCAATCTTCTGAGCATCTCAGGGTTTCATTGCGTGGCAAAGAGGAAGGGAGGGAGGGAGGCAGGCGTCCAAGTGGTTGGATCATGTCAAACATTGTAAATGCATGTAAATGCCCTGTGGTGAAGTTGCAAACGATTGGCCTATATCCCTAAGCTCATCCGAACCCCAAATCCAAAATGTATAATAAGACACACTGGAACAATGCGAACTCGTGTCGCTGACGGTGATCAGTGAGATTACCCCCTCCCATTCCCATTGGGTTTTGCCTGGTCCACTCGCCATCGTGCTGGCAGGCTTCCCCAGAGGAGCCCTGTACCAGGGAGAGAGCCGAGTCTGAGTCCTCGACATGTTGGATCCTCGCACTCTAGACATATGCAGCATGTTGTGTGCATGGTGACTGACCTTCAGAAGAACCTCACACATGTGCAGTAGTGCCTCTGCATGGAGATCGAAAATGCCAATCTCTGAGTCCATCATCAAACCATACTCCTAGCAGCTGGAGCGCAGCAAGTGGGTGTATCAAAACATGTTGAAGTTGGTGACTTGACTGTGTTGAATTTCTCATATTCTTCGGATGATGCGAAGCCCTTGCAAAGCACCCCGCCGTCTAGCCATGACTCCCGCCCCTGCATGGTTCCAGCATTATTTTGGTCTCGGATGTTTACACTGTACAGTGGACGAAAAGGTAGCACAAGTCATGTACGTTCTGTTGTCTCCACACAAACCCGCATGACGTTTCAACCAAGCTGAGTCCTCTTGCCCCAAATCCATCATCGCGGCCAAGCCTGGCACTTCCCGCTATTCGGGGAACAACTCCTCCAACCTGCACCACCTTAAATGACATGTTAATTTGCAATGTTTGTGCATACCTGGAATTCTATTCATCCTAGGGACTCCGGACATCCACTTGGTACATTAGCACCATCATTTGCACCATGCAATGGCGGCTGACCAGCCCCATGAGTAAATTGAGGCTAACTCCGAAAGCAAACGTGAGATGTCATGGTGCAGATGCAAGTAGGAAACCCGAGTCGGTAGTCTTCGTAGCCGTTTGCAAAGGAAAGAAGTCTGTGTGCACCCTGCAAGTCCGTGTAGCTGCTAGTGATTATATTATAGACATAAACACATACGAAAAGCCCGAAGGAGTTCCAGGCATCGATGAGCATTGCAGTAACATGGCCATTAGCGGGAGCTTTTCAGCCAAATGCTACTGTGCTATACTTGGCAATACATGACATAGCTCAATGCAGCCCTGTGCAGCGGCAAAGGCTTCTTTTTCCTCGTCACCGCCTCTAGAAGTCGTTGTCGTCAATCTTTCGCTTTTTGGGCCTCGCTTCCTCTGAATTGGAGGCCTTTCCTTTCTTCTTCTTCTTTTCCTTCTTCTCCTGGTAAACAATAGCACAGTGTCTAGGGCCCAACCCTCTGTTGCCTGCAATTAAGCAAGGTGAATGGGAGGTCCTCTGTTCATTGAGCCAAAAGCAGCATGGGCACAACCCTTGGGTCCTTTTTATCCTTTTTGTCTTTCTTCTTCTCTTTTCGCCCTTGGCTGACATGATCTGACATGAGCCTTTGTCAAGGAACGCCCCATCCATGCTAAACGACTTGGATATGGCAGCTGGCCCAGCATGAAAAACCACCAAAACCACAGCTGTCGAGGAATTCTGGACGCTCGGGTCGGACGTCCTGTCGAGTGAACTGAACTCATGTCCACGACTATGTCTCACAAAGCACGCGAAAAGCTTGGACAATACATGCCAAGCAAAAAGACATCGGCCTAGACGGATATCTTGGCCATAACCATCTTCCAGTCGGCACATGTACTACCGAAAGCGATAGCTGATAGAATTCATGGACTTCGCATCGCACACCTACATTTACATGCCCCGTTTCCCCGTTTCAGGTTGCTTGGCCCGGTTCCAATAAGCCAAGAATCCCATGGCCCAGGGCGGTGGCATGCCCATCATGGCGAAGGAGGGGTCCATAAAGGGCATCCCAGGGAAGGGCGGCATCCCAGGCACCGGGGGAAAGCTCGGTGGCTCCTGAGAAACACCCCGTGGATGCAGCGTGGTGGGACCCTTTGAGACACTCGTCGTTTCCATTGTGAGGAGGGCTTGGGAATCGGTATCCCAGGTGTGGCGACTCCGTGCTGGAACACAGCCGGGCAGCTACAAAACAGGGAAAATACATGAAACTCAAACTGCCTCGATAGAAACCACGTAGAAGCCTGCAGGTTGGAACTAGCTCAATCTACTCTTCACATGCTTGACCTCAAATGTTCATTGATGGTCCTACACATCCTCACACTAAGATTCCCAACTAGTCATACCAAGCGCGGATGCCTCGGTTGGTGCCCTTCCCTACTTCGATCCTCATCCTGGCCCTCGAGTTGTGGCATCTCATCGTCAGCTGCGTTCTCCAAGACCGGCCGCAAGGCCCTCACGTGGGAGGCACGCAACTGTCCATCCGGCAGTTTGTAGAGTTCGGCATCCACCTGCTTTCCGACCATGTCCTCACACAGCGAGGTCAAGGACCATTCGGAGCTTGAAAATACGAGCATTCGAGTGAGCAACGAGTGGTGATGTGATTTAATGTTCTTTTTTGATATTTTCCCCTCTCCCAAGGTCGCAAACACTTCACTTACGACATCTTACGCTTTCTTGAGTTCTTGGCTCATGGGATGGACAACTCTAAAATCTAGAACTGTCTATAAACATCTATGAAGGTCCTTCAAGCGCCGATAGTCTTCTCGATGCTCCACTTGTGCCACGAACTTGGCACGGTCCGTGAACTGTAGGCATCGGAGATTCGTCGGGAGCTCGAACTGTCGCCAAAGGATCTCACCCCACTCAGGGGACTTGATCACACCATAGCCTGCCATCGACACCCGGTGCACATAGCCCGAGACCTTCTGGCTTTCGCCCTCAGTGGTCTTCAATTTCTGACCTTTGTCACCAGCACTTTGATGGTGATGATGTTGATGATGATGGCCGGTGATCTTTTTTGCCTGAAGATTCTGGAAATCATTGCATTGAACTTGAACAGCACAAATCGACTGCCCTTTTAACGCCACAAGCGGATTAATAATGTTTTCCAGAACAAGTTTTCAAAACCGCTCGAATCACAAAAGTGCGCCTCATCCTCCTGCTGCTTTCGTTGTACCACCCACTTGGGTGGTGTAGCATGCTTGGCGCCCAAATGCTTGGTGACACCCGAGGAGGTCTGGATGGGATGGCCCTTCAAGCGTTCCACCGCTGCATTGGCCGCCTCCTCGTTGAGGTAGCGCAAAATCACCGAGCCAGTGACCGGCGTGGCCTGCTTCTCTCCTTTGGTGCCAGCCAAACCTCCCAAACACGGCGAAGCAGTGTCACTAGGAGCGTCCAGGGAGGTCTGGATGGGAGGAGAAGGAGCTAGTGATTAGGTCTTCTGGGCATTCGCAAGGGGGCCACAAGCACTTGAAGGCCCAACGATGTGGTTCCCTGCTGCCCGGCAAATCGCCCACATCTCCACGCTGTCTCCAGGTGCCTTTCCTCACATCCTAACATGTCACACCGGATCCTGCCTAAGGACACCTCGGTGAAGGGCAGGAACTTTAGACCCATGATCGTGTCCGGGTTCAATCCAAGCTGCCTATGCAGCTTTCGAATAGCGGCCTGCGTGGCAGAAAATCACACGTGCGAAGAAGCTGAAGGCATACAACCATCAACAACAGTTGCGCACGCATGTTCATGAGCTTATCATAGGGTAGGGGATGGCACGGGCAAACAAGCAGTTCAAGAAACATCAAAAAACAACATTTTTCATCTTTTTTCCCGTTGTGTGCTGCGCCTCGTTCCACTCCACGGGCACATCAGAGACGTACACCGAAGGATAAATGACCCTCGGCTCGTTGGGGTGCAAATTCTGCTTTTGATGATGATGCCTCGAAGGTAGTGCCTGTTGGATCTCCTGCGCAAAGACCGAAACATCAACTCAAGAGACATCAAGAGACTTGAAGCCTTTAGCATCCGGTCAGGGTTGCCTGCTTCCGACACCTCGGTCGAGAGACGTGGCAGGTACAGAAGTTCTGGGCGCAGGATTTCGCAACCGTCATGAACCAGCACATCTCTGTTGAATGAAGGGGGACCTGCTCATTCAGCGCTCATTCATTCACCTGTTGAACCACAACATCTCTGTCATTCTGCCACCAGGACCGTCATGAATCCAATGGCGGGGTCCTGCTTCTGCTCCACTGGCACAATGGCCGAAGGCTCACTCGTCACCTGAACACTTCGTGCCTGAGCCTTCCCCTGCGGCGTGGGGGTTGCTGCGAGTAGAGAGATGTTGGTTCACTCTCAACGACTGCGATCGGCAAGGTGCCCAGGAATTGGCCCTTTTTTCTTACAGTGCAGTATGACAGTTGATGAACAAAATCCGAAGATTCTCAATTGGCGAATCCCGCGTCTATGCACCCCGAAATGAAATACCAAAGGACAGGAAGTCCTATACAGTTCCAAGCTTGAGGCCTTCATCTACAAACAGAATGCCGCCGGCAAAGACCACTTGGATGTGGCCATTCCTGTACCAGCTCGTGAATCCCGTCAGAAAACTCCCAAAAGCTCCTGAATGCAGCATAGTGGCCAGTTGATCTGAGCAATAATGTCGACGCATGAGTAAGGCAGTAAGGACCACACGTCTAGTCCAGTAGTTTGGTTCAACTGACTACTGAAATGCCAACCACAGTTCAAAAACCTGGTTGCCAATTTTTCAAACAAGCGGGTACACACAACCCACCTCCAATTGGTTAGGCCCAGCTTCTTCGCCAAACAAACTCCAAGACTAATTGCCTCCCTTCCTCTGGCGGAGCCCTCTTCATGGAGAGATTCAGTCTTGGGGATCGCTCCTCATGAAGGCATTTAGTCTTTGGGATCTCTCCCCATGATTAACCCCACCCCCGAATTGACAGAATTCACTCAACTTTTTGGTTCCCAAACCTTCTGACCTTTATTTGTCATGTAAATTCCTACATGTGTATATACCTAAAGAATACATCACATACACAATTGACAAATAGACATAGATTTACAAGAAAAAGCCCCAGCCCTCAAACCTCCCAACTCTCTGGGCCCCCAGGCCCCAAAAGGGCCCCTGTGCCTGGGAGTTCTCCCAAATCTCGAAGGTCAATTCGATGCCCAAGGCCACTCGGAAGGGCAACGAGTGATTCCCGAAGAACCAAATACCTCGTCCATGTGGCGAACCACCGCCACCGCGGATGCATTTGTCGCGTTTTCGCCGTGCTGAGCTGCTGGGATGCATCTTGGCTATATAGGGGCTAACAACGGCTGGTACACAGACCAACTAGAGATGCCCGAGGTCAAGTAAAGTGATCATCCACGAAACGACCAGCCACGGAAACCAAAGAAAAACGGTGGCCGGCCTTCATCGACCGAGGAAGGGAGCGGAGGACCTTCAGTGTCTTCGCCCTTGAAGACTGGAGAGATAAATCCGAAATTCTTCGGGCCATTGAAGATCTTCAACAAGCCGCGGCCATAAGTGACCTGAGATCAATCACCCGGTTGTGCCAGTGACAGGAAGTATCTGAAATCTGGAAGTCGAGATGGGAACTTGAGGTTCTGACCCGGTTAACATCATACAAGTATTGCCAGAGACGATCAGTGGGGAAGGACCAAAACAAGGAAAGCACATGGTGCAATCGATAAGGAATTGCGTTTAACTGTAATGAGTACATTCGATTTATCATGCACAAAAAGGGGTGTGGGCTCACTCCTACTCCGACAGGCATAGCAGTGAATCTTTTGACTGGAACCAAGTGGCAAAGGCTTCGCTGCCATCTGTGGGATTTGTGCCCTCCATGGCCACTTAGCCGCCCAAAGCTACTTGAGCCGTGGACAACCACCGACACCGGGCAAGCATACGCAAATTGCGCAAGAACAAATGCATCACAATGAATCTCTGGGCTATAGTAGACCTTTGCAAGTCATCTTTGATTACACAGCGATCAAACATGTCGAGCCGAACCAAAGTACTTCTTGTACGCAGCAATGTACCTGTCTCAAAGATGGGGGCCTTTCAGAGAAAACATGATGCATAATGCATCAGTAATCGTCTGTCTTCTATGCACTATGCATGCATCTATGATACTATTTCCTGATGCCTTTTGCCCCCTTTTGCCTTTGCGGTTGTCCTATGCTGACCAGTGCCGAGACAGGAGTAGTTCTACAGCAAACTGAGCATAGCTAACCCGCTGAATCATGGTGACCAAACACTCTTCGAGTTCTGACCTTCCCGCACAGGGGGATAGTCTTTCAGCCCAGCTGTTTGTACGGGTCCCTAACCCAAGGCGGCAATCACAAGGGGGCACTGATTGCCCAAGGAATACGCCTTCGGCCTGCGGGACTTGGCTGTTGGAGTCTCTCCAGCGGCCAACCAGTGGCGGTCGGTGCCGAACGGAAGAGCTGCAAGTCCGAGGAGTGCGACGACCAGTCTTTTCTGGGACGAATTGGCCATGTTCGAACCACAGGTAGCTCAACTGGAGCTCAAGCAAAAATTAATATATATATATATAATGTACATACGCCTCATGTATCCTCATGTTATAATTACAGCTGGACTTACTTTATATGTGCATATTACATGCCTTATGTATCGATTCTTTAGCAAACTCTCCAACATTCTCCGACTGGCTGCTCGACTGGAACATCCCATGTCCATCCACATGTGGGTTGTGGTCCCTTACTAATCCCTGCAGTCCCTTGTTTTAGGCCCCAACCACCGCCCAACTTCCCGCCCCGCCATCCATTCTTCGGCTCGTCGGCCACGACGGGCACCCATAACTCTGGAGTCCCAGGGACTCAGCGCCGAAGAGACGCCGAAACGAACGGCGAACTCGGCGTAAGTTCTTATCGTCGCCTGACCATCTCAGCCGTCGTGTTTTCAAGGCCGTTCAAGTGTCCAAAAAACAAGGACCACCAGGAGCACAACTACACTGGAATCAGTCTTTCTTCGGCACATGGCTCTCAACTAAGTTAGCCGTGACTAAAGTATGCTATTCCCACCTTGCAAGTGGGCAAATTACTGAGCTCAAAGCTTGTACAATCCAGGGCTTCGCGGAATAGGTCTAAATCCTGTGAGATGGCAGAAGTGAGCTCTCTGGCCTATCTGAACAGTTGAGACACACTTCGTCATAGAAGCTCACACACGTACCCGTCTTGTTGCTTGCATGGTTGCAACGCCCAAACCTAAGCATCCTTGGAAGACCAGTTCGCACTGCATCAAGCCTTCTGAAACTGGAACACCACATAGACGTTCAGCGCCTGCGGCGAGCAACTTCCACATAAAACACCAGTAAGACTGGACTCCGACTGGGCATCCAATGCGAGCCTGTACAAAGACTCCGGCACAGCGGATACACCTAACGACCAAATAGGTCTAACTTATAATTAACATTGTGAAATGCCCAAATGGTTGATAACTCTCACTGCTCCAGCTACCTCCTCAGGTGGGGTGGGTGCCAGGGAGGTCTAACCACCTTCTGAGAATATGGCTGGAGCTCTACAGTAGAGTTATACTGCCAAGATCTGCCAAGATTGGGCGTTCAAAGCATTAGATTTAATGACTCTGAAGCGTCCAAAACCAATCCCAATTCCCAAGTACATCTTGTCAAACCCCTTGAACCATCTTGAGCCCCCTCGATCTCTGTCACTTGTCGATTCCATCGTAAGATTGCCACATCATGCCACATCAGCGCATTAAGACGTGGCGCGACATTTGCAAAACCTTTCATGCTAGTTGGCTTCTGAAGCCGATCGACCCCATTTCAGAGCCATGCTCATGTTACTCCCGTGACGGTGTGCGTTGATGATGCCTGCCCCATCAATACGGCCTCGAAGGCTGCTGGGCACCGCAACCACTCGGCCAAAAACATGATCATGGCGTAATACCTGGAATGTTGGTCGTCGCGGCAAAACGAACCAACAATGGCCCGAGCTGGTGGATTCAGCGCTTGATACCCTGCAGTTTCAGCTCTGGTGGGAGAAGCTCTCAGGATTTGCTACAAGCTGCAGCTCTGGATTTGGTATATAGTGATCTCTGCATTTGAGGGCTCAGAGTGTCTGCATGTCACGTACCAGAAAACGCATCAAGACTCAACAAACTTGTCGAAGCCAGGGTCTTCTGGGCTGCAGACTTTGGCGGATGTACTGCAATAGATGCTGCAACCTGCCATGTGAGTCACATGAGGACCAAGGCGCTCAACCAATGGGATTTGTCATCTACTCTTGAGGCAAAAGTGCTCCAAAGTCAAGGGAAAACGATTCGTTGGAGCATTCTCACTAATTACCAAAATGCCTTCCGCTTCACGCCATGTGAGATGAGTTTGAGCATCGCCTCAGGGAGATCGACTCGGAATGACCTCCTTTTGGGCCAAAGGCTGGTGCCAAGTGAGGTCAGGTCAGGTAGGAAATTAAGACGTGAGACAACCTATGCCTACTATAGTTATATAACTAGTGTAGCGCAAAACATGTTTTGGAGCCTGATTTCTTGAACATGCCTCTGTCCTCCACCTTGACCTCATAGTACGGAAACACTCGCTGTCATCTTGCGTTAGGCATCGGTGCCCACGCGTGGTCGGATCGCATGGCCCCGAACAGGTGGGACCCGAACATCTGAAGGAACAAACAGGTGGTTTTCACTCCACTTCCAGGGTCTGATTCCATGGAGGGAGTGGAGTTCATTTCTGAAGTGTTATGAACCCAGCATGGAACTTACAACATGGTACCACCACTTGAGCTAAGCCCACTGCTTCAGGCACGTTATTCGGCCTAGGATCAACAGCTGCATCCTAAAAGATGTGAGGGTCTTTGCAGGTCTTTGGTCCTTGGCCTCTTTGAGCCCTCTGTCATGACCTAGAATCTGCAGCTGGTGCCCCAAGATGTTATCGTGGCTGTGATCCCTGATGTCTGCGTGGCAAAAACACGGCCTTCCAACTTTGAAAGCAATAACACCGGTCATGCTACGAAGATATACCGGTTCGCCCACTTGATGCCTCTGACCGCCAAGAAGGTGCGTATCATCGAGTCTCCGACCAGGGCGAGGTCAAAGACTCGGGCAGCTCTCCCCTCCTTGGCGTTCATCCCGGATGCTCTCATGACGTGCCGTGGGCCCGGGAGGATCGGGACCCTCCACATCCCTCGACGGAAAGCAACGAGGGATGTACCGCTGCTACTTGGCTTCAACACGGCTTCTGCTACGTGCTGCCATTCTACATTGATCACCACAAAGGAGCGGGATTTCATTTCCAGAACTCTGAACTGTCTGCCCGCCCGATTTAGCAAGCAGTCTGAGTTTTCATGTTAAAAGTCAGAGGTTCTCACAGGATTTTTTCGGTCTCTCTCTCTCTCTGTGCCTCTCTCTCGCTCCCTCCCTCCCTCCCTCCTTCCCTGCCCTCCTTTTGCAGGTGGGATTGATTTACAAGGTGGGGAGGTATGAGCAAACCTCCAACAAGGACTGCAGGGTCGAACTCTTAAAGCAAATCACCCGAAAACCTGAGAGGTCAACCTGCCAAACATTAACATAAAGAATATAAACATCAAACAACACATCAAACACCATCAAAACGCTCACAACTGTTCTACGCAAATCCCCCCTCTCTCTGAGTCCGCAGCTCCCGAAGCCCTTGGAGCTTCTCTTTGAAGGCCTCTCCGGCCTAGAACGCGCGCCCGGCTTGGGACTGCAAGATGTGGAAAAAACTTAGTAACAGGATAAGGGCTTGATACTGGGCTTGATAGAACCTTGATAGAACCTGATGATAGGTTCCCAACATACCAGAACTCACCCAGGACCCACAAGACTTGAGTTATCGGAAAAGTTCGTGGTGTCTGGAAGCATCCCATCGTTGACATTCGTAAATTAATTCATGTTTAATTGCACTTTGCGTGACTAACATTATATTACAGTAACATGAGTGTGGACAAAACCCTCGTGGTAGAGGGACTGGCAGAGCATAGCAAAACAGTCTTTCCAAGGGCCGTGACATACACTTCGATGACCTTCGTGGTGTCCGGATGGTCACTTGGTGAATGGTCTTGGCTCCATTTTCCACTGCGTCTTGGTCAGCTCTCATGCTGCTTCGTGCGGAGGAGGTCTGAAATCCTCGCAATGGCCAAAATGGAATAGGTGCAAAAAGGTGCAGACGAACGAGACGATTTGGTCTTCGGTCTGTGTCGAATCAAGAATCCAAAAACGCTTCCACTCCCGGCTCTTCGGTGTGTCAAGTCCCAGGCACCGTGGAATCCAACGCCAGCTGCATCTGTTCGCACAGCATCGCCGCAGGCGCATCTGACGGACCCGAGTGGGCGCACCCCTAGGTTCAGTTCAACAAAGGGGCTTCTACATTCTACAGTGAGGATGGCGCGAAAGGCATGGTGTACAACAAACCTGCTACTGGCAGCTACTCACCCTCGCTGCAAACAAACCCCCGCTCGCTCCATCCGACCGGCACCTTGAAAGTTGGAATCTGATCCTGCAATTGTGCCTCCAGCTTGGCTGCCTCTGAATACCTCAACAAAACCCAGTTGTAGTGCGAACAATTTGAGAAGCCTGGGCGCTGTCAGCAATGTCGTTGCAAAGACCTACAGCAATAATCAAAAACACAAACACATATGTTCCGGTCAGTAGCGAACGTCCAAATCCTGGAATCATGTGATGTGTTGGTGTAACCAGCGCTTAGTAGCGATCCACTGGACCTCAGTTGAAGAAACACGCACCTTCACACCTTCCACCACCCCAACCCGCATCGCATTCGCTCTTCTCTCTCCGAAAACGACACGAAAAACACCGGTGGCGTAACTGGTCGAGACCCGGGTGCATCCCTTTCAGCTGCTTGGGAGGTAGCAACTGCAACTGTGAGAGCAACTCTCCATGCAGCTCTTTGGCCTTAGCTTCTTGTTGCTAGTAGCGATGCCAGGAGCCCCCCAGTAGCGTCCTTGCTCCTAGTAGCGATGCCAGGAGCCCCTAGTAGCTTCTTGTGACTAGTAGCGATGGCTCTTTGGCCTGGTGGAGTGATGGGGATGGGCGAAGAACCCCACTTCGCACACGAGACTTGGAGGATGGGCGAGCGAGCGATTCTGCACGGTGACAAGCGTGACCGATTCGGAGGGGAACGCATTTGGGACAAGAACCATGGAGTTATGTTGATCTTCCTGGATCCTTGTGGCATCCTTGAAGGGAATGCACATGAATGCACCCATCCATGCTGCCGACCCGCCTTTTTGGTCTTTCCTTGGGCTGCATAGCCCAAGCCCAAGCTGCCTAAATTGTGCAAGACCTGCGAATTGCAGCAGGTCTGGTGGGCCCGACGCTCCCTAACGGCCAGAAGCTTCAACAAAGTCTTGATTCTGTGGCGTGTTTGACGAAGAACTTGCGAGAGAGAGAGAGAGAGAGCTTGGCGCATGACCCCAAACATGGCCGTCACGGGTTTCGAACTGTATTTATAGCGGTTGACTATCCTGTTCTGCTATCTCTATGATGTCTATGTCATGCTGTGTCCATTTCGAGCTGCTGGGATGGCACAGCTCCAGTTTTCGTGGCTTCTCAACTGCACCCACTATCCCGGGCACCTGCGGATGAGAAGAGCCCAGAGTCTCGCACATGGCCTTCTGTGACTTTGAAAGAATTGCCTCGGTGAAGGGCAGGACAAAAGTTCCCGCCAAAGCTCGGGCCGCATTGCACAGTGCGTTTCATGGCATGATGCTTTGTGCAAGGAAACGCCGATTAGGTGAAAGGGGCAAAACAAAGGGAACAGATGCTGTATGCAGTATATCTATCAAGTTGATGGATGGAAACGGAAAGGACAAACACAGCCAAGGGACAACATGCTAAGAACATGAATCGGAAGCAACGTGACCGCGTTATGAGTTATGACCAGCAAATGGGTGTTGGAAACAAATCAAACACCTACCCTCCTTCAAACAATCATGGAAGCAGGCCGCAGACGCCCTTGTAGAGGACAATTGGTCTTCCAGGGGCCGAACTGTTCCACTTCCATGATTGTTTCAGGGAGTGTACTTCTTCTGTGGTCGGAAAAAACATGAAAAACACCGTTTCAGGAGCAGCTCGTGGATCGAGCCAAAGCACCACTCATGGAGACGAAGCTGGCAGTCACTGGCAGTCCGAAGCTTCCGGACTGGCAAGACAAGCCTTTCAAGGGAAACAAACAATCAAACAACATCTTTACATATAATATATTCCGATTCCATCAATTCATCCAACAAATCTCATTGTTTTTGTTGCTCTTTCACTGGTTGCTTGAGGAATCTGCTGAATTCTAGGTAGGTCTTTTTCAACCTGCGAGGCCCTGGGCATTTGCACTATCCCTTCTGCATCGTCACCCTTGCCACCATTCCCTCACCAAGGTACAATGGCCTCCTCCAAATCACCCTGGGCAAAGCAAATGGTCAGAAAGGGTTGAGATGGGGCCACACAGGTTTGTGGCCCTTCTTTTGCTCCTCAGGCTTCATCTTTTGTATTGGTTGCCTATGCTGCAAACACCTTCCACAAAGACCTTCCACAAACAAAGCAACATCCATACTCTCCACTGCACCCACTCCCTCGCACAGCCCCGCTGCGCCTTCATTCGCAGTGCTGTGCCCAGGGCCGCTTCGGTGGTGATGACCTGGCGAACCCCGCAGGACCGAGCCGAGCTGCATCGCCTAGGGGCCTGCGAGAACAAGCCGACCAGTCTCAGCCACAAGCGACCTTTTTCATGCTAGAGTTGGCCAAAGAGATGAAACACTCCTGTCAAACTCTGAGACAGGCTGAGGCACAATGCCCAGCGGCTGATATCCGCCACCAATGCACTCAGAAATCAGAGTATATCTTGGAGAGACATTAAGAATGGCACTCAGTATGACTGAATATGTTCTCCGAAGATCACTCATGGGGGCAAGTCCAGCAGATCCTCCCAAGGTGGTTCATACTCTCGTAGCTGCGCCAAGCGCTCGCTAATCTCCTTGAAGCGATTGGTGCCCAAACCTCGTAGCATCAGGACACTCAGCGGGCAAATCATCAGCCGTCAGGCCATGACTACCTGACTACCCCAGAAAGCAGAAACAAACCAAGGCCCTGTGTAAAGGAAATTGGTTTTCAAACAGGCAACTCTCCCATCTGCACATCAGTGAGTGGGAGAGTATGTGCGTGTGGGGTGGCACTTCGGCCACTGAACTTCAATCTTGAACATCACCGCCATCCCATCCACTCGAAGCCGCTACATGCCTCTGGTGCGGGTCAGGGAACTTCTCAGGTTGGTGGAGACATTCTTCAAAGAGATCTCCAAACCCGTGCGCAGCAGTTTGCCACCCGCGATCCAATCACCCCGCAGAGTCCTGATTTGCCAATCACCCTGCAAAGTCCCGACTTCCATGACGACCAATAGGTCTTGGAACATCAAACACATCCACCATTCCTTTCAAGGAAAGCTGTGAAATTTAGGTTCTGTAGATCTCACCACCTCAGCAACACCCGATTCAAACTTGGCTTTCGTTTTCAACACTTGCACAGCACATGGAGCTCTGCAATAGCTCAGCCCAGACTCTGCTTGATGTGCCTTTTCCAATGCAAGCATGCAGTGCCTGCACATCATCCAGGGTGAATGGAGCTATCACAACAATACATCAACAAAATGTTGAAGGGTCTATGCAAAAATGCTAGTGCCATCTGTGACTTGGAGACAGTCGGACACTTGCAGAGTCAAATTGAATGCATCCCCAGCCCAAGCTGCCTGTCTTAAGCGCGAACTCAGCCACAGAAATCGGTACTTCACAAGCCCTTTTCAACCATCTAAGCCTCTCTGGATCGTCCTCGTCCACATGGCTGAAACCAGACCGAACATCAACACAACGGAATCAAGACTAATGATGTCCGAAGTAGCTATGAGCAACAATTGTTCAATATGAACATCAGTCTGAGTCACGAGTCAGGAGACAGGGAAAAAAACAATCTGCCCTGCCCTGGAAACCTACCACGGATGAGAACACATTGTAGTAATAAGTTAAGACTATTCTGTCTGTTTCATCGCTTGCTTCTCGCATGGTCCTCTGCCAATGAGGCATAGATCGCGGCCAAATAGCCGCAGTAGGCGTTGGCATCGTCGCGTGCACACTGGATGAGACCCTGACTGTTGCCTGGGCAATGTCGCAGTCGAACCCAAAGGTCTTTGTGCTTTATCTCCACAATCAATCCGCAAATTCTTTCAATTTCTATGACATCTCTGAACCCATGGACCCATGGCCAAGTGATTGATAAGGGCCCTTGAGTTCACGAACATCAACGGTGTTGCAGGCATATAGTACAGTAGAGACTGACTAGAAGTCGCCCTGAAATCCCTCGCCTTCTAACTGCAGCAACATGTCGTCGGGGATGGCAGCACCATTGGAAATGGAAATCTTGATGCCTTGAATGGCAGCGTCGGACAGTGAGTCTGAAAGTCATTCCAAGGCTTTCTAGGGCAATTCCAGAACGAAAGCAATAGAATCCAAGCCCAAAAAAAGATTGGACAAAATAAGAAACAGTTTCTGATGGTCCTCTCTACATGGACCGCTGTTTCAAACACTGGCCATAACAGGCCATAGCTCTTATTGCAGGATCAAAACCCCAGCCGGCCCAACTCCAACGGCTTCAGCCTCTCCAAGACACACATTCGCATCAGAG